CCAGCCAGTTGTTCTTTTGTAGTGTAATGCATTGAAATGGGGTTCCAGTATCATTTGCCCAGAGCATGAAACCAACCTGTGGCGGTTTTTCTTCTGCGAACACCACCTTGTAGGAGATAAGTTGAAACTTGCGAAGCGCAGATGTCATCATATGAAGTGGCGGCCTCATTTTCATTTTGCCCCCCCCCCCCCCCCCCCCCCCCCCCCCCCCCCCCCCCCCCCCCCCTCCCCCCCCCCTGGAGGGGGCGCTCATGGAGGAGTCGGGGCGGTCGTGTCTCGGGGGCATAATTTTCGTACGGTTTTGTCCAGCGTAGGGTCTGTGCGGGACCTCGGCCAACGGACTTGTTGGCCTGTCCTGGAGCTAAGGACCTCACACGCCGTCCTGGCCATTGGGGTTGTCTATCTTGTTTCGGACTTGGGCGTCTGTGGTGACAATGTCTCTAGGCTCCATGAGATCTCTGAGTTCGTGGGCGCGCTCTCCCTCCCCTGGGTCGTCATGGGTGATTGGAATGATCCGATTGGCGACTTGGAACAGGCTGGCTTCACACGTCTGGTACGTACTGGTGCTGCCGCCCCGTCAAGATGTTGAGTTCACATGCTCTCAGGGACGCGGCGCCCTCATCGACGACGTGGCTGCCTTTGATGATATTGCTTGCTTCGTGAAGATTGGCGGCAACTGCATTCCGTCCCCGTTCAAGACTCATGCTTGCCTGAGTATTGATCTCGAGCATGAGGTGGTAGAACAGGCACTTTGGCGACGAGTAGAACCAGCCGCGTTTCCTGACCGTGCTGGCCCTGAATTGCCGTGGGGAGTGATCCTGGAGCAATGTCGTGACGAGGGCTTTGATGAGCCCCCCGGTTTCTTGTTGGACGAGTTTTTTGCCTCAAGTGGTTGATAAGATGTCGCCAGCTGTGTCAGAGTACTGTGTCTTGTGGAGCAGAGTGACGGAGTGAACGTTTCTATCCCGTGCTTGTGCCGTTGACCCTATTCCTCGTGGTGCTGGAGAGCGAGCAGGGTTGCCCTGAGTCCGTTTCTCCAGGGCCGGCAAGCGCGGATTCTGCGGACAGAGTTTCAGACAACCAGCTTTCTGTTTCTGGGCGCGCGTGTTGCAGACCCCATGGGAGCATCGCCTGTCTGTTGCGAGGAAGTCGAACACAGGGGTTGACCAGGCTCGGGCTGTTCTTGGGACTCTAGCTCTCGAGGCTGATGCGCATTGTATTCTTAGCGACCTTCGAGACCCAGAACGGTGGCGTACTCAATTACCAACCCTTCCCCAGGATGCTCCCCGTCCGGGCCCGACGTCCGATGCTTTTTGTAGCGCCGTGTCTGAAGCGCGGGCGTCGGCAGGATCGGAGCCTGAGGCCAGTGTGAAGCGGTTTGGCTGCTGCGCGCGCGGCCCCAAAAGGGGCCGAGCGGGTGCACTCCTGGCTTACACCTTAGGCGATGCTTAAGAAAACCTAAAATTTCGGCCAGAGACTCGATTATTCGTAATTTTTTAATGTAAATCCCAAGATTTTGATAGAAGTTCTGGGTTTTAGTCAATTTCTGAGACTATGAATTTCTTAACCCATGATTTCTTAAGCATTTCGCAGGGTGTAGATGCGACCGAGGTGTCGACCTCGAGCACTCGGTCACCTTCACCCATATGAAGCAGCACATGGATTGTCGTCAGCAGTACTGAAGGGGTTCCAGGAGGCGTTCCCCGAACGCCGTGGGGCTCTGCCTGGACTTTTGGACGAGTGGAGGTTGGTTCCTCTCGAATCCATGGGGGATTCAGAGCAGGTGGGCCCGCTCGGCGTCAGAAAGTGTCGCGGGCTTTCAGGGCTGACACGGCCGTGGGGGTCGATCGCTGGGCTCCGCGCTCCCTCCTTGCCCTCTCCTTGCTGCTGTTGGGGTCTATGCTGGCCTCCTCAATCAGTGCGAGCGCTGCGTGATGTGGCCTACCCAGACCATGATGGATATTATTGCTTTACTCCCCAAGACTGCTGATGGCGAGGGCCGTGTTTGTAAGTGCGCCGAGCTTTACCGTGTGTATGGTAAAGTCCGAGGGCGCGACATCGACAACTGGGTTGCCGAGCGACAGAATTGTTGGGGCACGGCGATCCGAGGGTCCTAAGCCCTGGTCGCTGTTCTTTTGCGTGAGGGCAGCCATGGGATAGCGTCCTATCACGGTTTGGCGTCCATTGGATTGTACTGGGATTCGATCGAGTTTTTCGACGCCGTCGATCCTCTTCGCCTGGCTGGATCCGCTTTGAAGATTCAGTACCTTGTGCGTCTCCTCTACCCGGGGATTTTGATGCATAAGGCGCCTCGGATTTTGAAGGTCGGAGGTTTCGTCTCGGATTTGATTCCCACAGGTGCGGGGGTGTTGCCAGGTTGTGCGCGATCCATGCCATGGGTCAATCTATACTTGTATGACCTGCTCGATTTTTCCCACGCCCAGTTTGCTCCGGTTCAGGTGCGTGCGTGCGCGGATGATATTTCTGAGACTATGCGTGGTTCCGAGGAGGACGTCATTGATCGTATTGTTTCAGCGGCAGTGGGGTTGTGTCATCAGCTCGAGGCGGCTGGCGCCATCATTTCCCGCAAGAGTGCCATGGTCTGCTCCCGCGTTTCTTTGGAGCGCGGGGTCTCTGCACGCCTGGCTAGTACTGGCATCGGGATTCGTTGTGCGAAGGCTGTGCGAGATCTGGGGGTCATGACCACGACAGGTAAGCGGCGCTGCACCATGAAGGTGAGGCGGCGTCACCTGGCGGCCCGTTAGAAGGCCAAGAAAGTGTCGTATTTGTCCAGAATCGTGGGACGGGCTGGCAGGCTCTATCAGCCTGCTGTTTTGTCTGTTGGGTCCTGGGGCCATGACGTCCTTTGGCTCGCGCCCAGCCAGGTCCAGACCATGAGGGCCCTGGCGGCCACCTGCTCTGGATGGTGTAGTCCTAGGGCCTGCGCCTCGTCTGTCCTGGGGTGGTTGAGCTCTGCCAAGGATGGCCCCCAGTTTAGGTTGAGGTATAGGCAGTTTGTTGCCTAGCTTCGCCGCCGTCTGGGGTTCGTTGGCCACGAGCAGAGAATGATGATTTTGCAGACCAGGAATCGTATCAAAGCGACGTTTACAATTTTTAGATATCGTTGGCAAGTTGTGCGGGGCTCCATAGCTGCTGCCATATCTGTCCTCATGCACCTCCAGTGGGACCCCGTGTCGCTTGTTTTTTTGAGAGCTGACGGTCGCGACCGACGCGTCACCGATGATGATTTCCCTGTGGCCCTTTGGAATCAGCTGCTCGATGCTTGTTCTGCTTCGTCTAGGCACCTCTGCATTGCATGTGTAAGGGATCCGAAGGAGGGGTGGATTTCACGGTGGTGCAGAGATTATTAGGGAAGCTGGGGTCGGACGGGGAGATGGAGGCAGTTGGGGTCCTGCGCACCGCCGTCGCAGCTGGCTGCTTGGCGGAGCCCCGTGTGGCGGCCGCCGGGTATCGTTATATCTCCAACGGCGCGTGCCCGAGGTGCAGCGCATCAGAGGAGATGCCTGAGCATCGGTTCTGGGCTTGCGATTGCAATCGTCTCATTCCCGATCAGGTCGTGGATCGGACCGATCGGTTAGCTGTTCGCGTTCGAGCTGAGCCAGAGCAGTCTTGTCTGTGGTATCGTGGTCTCCCTCCCTTGGCGGCCTCACGCGGCCATCTCCCTGCCCCCGAAAATCGTGTTTGGGAGTGGGGCCCCCTGGTTGGGGGCCAGAAAATCAGTGAAGGTGTCTGGGGCATTGGCGGTTTAGGGGGGGAAGCGCACTAAGGACTGGAGGCTTCGAAGGTGCGGCTTGGCCATCGTGCGCTGAGGTCCAGCTGGCTTGTGCGACGGCGTCCTCAGCGGCTCTTTCCCCGCCGTGCGCCAGTCCCTGCTCCGTGCCGAGCTGTGTGGCCTCATCCAGCTCGCTCTGCCCAGCGCTGGAGACTGTCGAGTCGACTGTGCTTGTGTATCTCTTGTGAAAGGAGTGCGACGGCCTTTGGAGGTCGAGAGCAGATCGAGCATGCAGGACCTGTGGGCCCGTTGCCATGGTATTGTGCGGGCCCGCCGCGGTTCGATGAATGCTCTATGGGCCAAGGGACGTGCCACTCATGCCCGAAGCCGAAACATGTTGCTGTCTGATGTAGAACTGTACCTGAATCGAGCGGCATATAGGTTTGCGGACGAGGCGGCCGCGCGTGTGCATGTCTCTGACCAGGATGCTGCCGCCAAGCTCCAAGTAGATCTGCTCGCCGCCGATGTGTTGCAAAGGCTGCTTGCGGTTCAGCGAGAGGTCCTTTTTCGAGTCAGCATGACCGAGTGCAGAGAGCCCCCAGACAAGAACGTGGCCAGTCTACCAGTTTTGCAAAGCGTATGTGCAGACTCCGTGACTCGGGGCATCAGCCAGAGAAGCGGAAGGCTGTGATTCGCTGCCCACCTTGCGCCAGGAGTTTGAATTTGAAAGGATTTGTGAACGAATTCTGGCCTGATCCGTACAAGCCGCGATGTGTGATCCAGCAGCGAGTGCAGCTGTTGCCACGTCGCTTGGAGGTGAGTCATCACGCCCCCGCCCCCGCCCCCGACGACTTGGGCCCCGTCAGGTTCGTGCGGGAGCGCTCTCGATCATCCGCTGGCCGACCGATGCGACCCCTCCCACCACCCCGCAGTGCACCGTGGGGTGCTTTATACGACGCGCGGTGGCTTTTGCACGACAGTGCCACCGCGTACGTGGAAGAAGTTCTGCCAGACGCCCAACACAAAGCTGGGCGCGAGGTGCCGTCGAGGCTCAGAAGAGGCCTCCCCCCACAGTCGGGAACGTGTGCCCCCGACTTGGGCTGACGTGCGTGATGCGGCCTGCCTAGCAGCAAGACCCCGCGTCCGAGGATCAGAGGATCAGAGAGCTCCTCCTCCTTGTCGTCCTCCTCCTCCTGGTCTCCTCCTCCGCCTCCTCCGCCTCCTCCCTCCCTCCTCTCCCCGGCCGCCTCCGCCCCGCCCCGCCCAGGCGCGGCCCGAGAAGGGCGACGTGGACCGGACCAGGGTGGAGGTGGCGCTGACGAAGGAGGCGCGCGCGCGCGCTCGCCGCCCGCCCTGGCAGGGCCCCGAACCTGGATAGCGGGCGCCTCGAAAAATCGAGACGGACGTCTTTTGTCGTTCTCGGCCCCTCGGGGCCCTCGCCGAGCTTCGGGACCGTCAAAAACCGACTCGGGATGAAAAAAACCGGCCCCGGGGAAGTGGGCCCGTGTGTCGAAAAAGTCGAGACGTCGGATGTCTGGGAACAGGCAGGGTGCCGACGGGAGGCGCGCAGACTGGAGCTGGCGCAGAGGTTATCCGGAGGTCCCTCGGAAGTTTTCTCAGGGCGCGCTCTCCAGGCGAGGGCCCTTCGGCCCGCTCGGCGCGGGTGCCTTGCCCTTGGCGGGCTGGCCTGCGGGAGGCCTGCGGAGGGCCCCGCCGGAGCGAGGCGGAGCGGCGGATCCGCTGGGGGGAGCCTGGGCGGAGCGACGGGGAGCTGGGCGGAGGTGGGACGCCAGCGCGTTTGTTCTAGGCCTCCCAGGTAGATGCCGCTGGTGTTCGCTGTTCGGTCGGTCGGTCACGTCGCAGCTGGTTGCGTTCGGTCGGCTCGGGTCGGTCGGCAACGGCGCCGCTGCCGCGCCGCTGCGCCCTTCTGGGCTGCCTGCGGCCTGTCGACCTCGGTCGGTCTTGGTTCCGCTGTCGGTGCGGAGGAGGAAGAGGAGAGGAGGAGGAGGAGGAGGAGGAGGAGGAGGAGGAGGAGGAGGAGGAGGAGGAGGAGGGGAGGAGGAGGAGGAGGAGGAGGAGGAGGAGGAGGAGGAGGAGGAGGAGGAGGAGGAGGAGGAGGAGGAGGAGGAGGAGGAGGAGGAGGAGGAGGAGGAGGAGGAGTAGGAGGAGGAGGAGGAGGAGGAGGAGGAGGAGGAGGAGGAGGAGGAGGAGGAGGAGGAGGAGGAGGAGGAGGAGGAGGAGGAGGAGGAGGAGCAGGAGGAGGAGTAGGACGAGGAGGGGAGGAGGAGGAGGAGGAGGAGGAGGAGGAGGAGGAGGGGGAGGAGGGGAGGAGGAGCAGGAGGAGGAGCAGGAGGAGGAGGAGGAGGAGGAGGAGGAGGAGGAGGAGGAGGAGGAGGAGGAGGAGGAGGAGGAGGAGGGAGGAGGAGGAGGAGGAGGAGAGGAGGAGGAGGAGGAGGAGGAGGAGGAGGAGGGAGGAGGAGGAGGAGGAGGAGGAGCAGGAGGAGGTCGTTTTTCGCTTGGTTTTCGGCTCTGCTGTCGCCGCGGACGCCGCGGGACGTGCTCGGAGGCCCTCCCCCCCCGGGGCCTGCCGTGCCACGCGCGGCCGAGCCGGTGGAGGCACCGGGCTCGTTGCCCAGGCTGCTCGGCGGTTGCGGCCGGGGGTGTTTGCTCGGCGTGGTCGCGCCGCCGGGTCTGGCCCGGTCGCTGCGCCTCGGCGTCGCACGCGTGGCGCTTCCAGGCCTCCCAGGTGGGGTCGGAGGATCGCGCCGCATCGCCCGTGCATCGGCGATGCAGGTCGATGTGGAGCCCGATGTTCTCCACTCCGACGGCGCCGATGCGTCGGCGAGGCATCTCCGATGCATCGGCGGTGCTGCGAGCTCCTCCGACCCCATCTGCTCCGACTCAAATCTGGGAGGCCTCGAACCACGTCCTGGCCCCCACTTGTCAATGCCCCGAGCCTTTTCGAGCCCCCCGCCCCGCGGAGCGGAGCCACACGCTATCAGCTTGCAGGGCAGGCATACAGTCACCGCGCCCAGTGAGGACGCGCGCCTTCATCCAGGTACCGGTGTGTCCTTGCCTCTGCGGCCCGTCCTTTGCCGCTTTCACGGGTCGCACGCCGCCCAGGAAATCCCAACTTCGCCCTCCAAGGATCTTTTGCGTCCTTGCCACCCGTCCTCCATGCATAGGAAGGCACCAACTATACACCAACACCGATCCTGGCCAGGATCGGTGTTGGTGTATAGTTGGTGCCCTCCGAATGCACGTTCTGACTGTTGCGTGTCGCCGTGGCCACCGAGGCGACGCGAGGCGCACAGGGCTCCGACCGCGTATCGCGGCTATCCCGGCCAGGGCCGGGAGGTCGTGCCCGCCTCTGGGCGCTTGGGCCGAAGGCGGGCCTCCGCGGGAGCAAGGAGTCGTGGTGCAGTCGGACCGAGGTATACGATCGGGGTCGGTTCGGAGAGGGTACCCTAATGTTTTTCGACGTGCTTGTTCGATGTGTTTGTGCATCCTGGGGGAGGGCACCCTCGAATGTTCTTCGGTGTGGCCGGCGGGGGGTCTTGCGTTCTTGAAGGATGCTCTTCTGTCCCAGGTCCGACTGTGATGTCGAGGGAAGGGGCACGATGGCTGGAGGGGAGTAGGAGGAACCAGGGGTAGGTAGGTGGGATGTTCATTGTTGTCATTGCAGCTCTGACGCAGCATGTTTGGCTCCAGTCCGGAGGGCCAGCAGTGGCCAATTTCTTTTCCTCAGGGGGGAGGGCCCTTTAGCAGGTGTATTCGCGAAATCACAAGGATAGATGGCCAGGCATGAGCTGGTTTCGCTGGCGCTGGTTTTGCCCCGCTGGTTTCGCCGACGGCTGGTTTCGCCAGCGCTGGTTTCGCCAGCGCTGGTTTCGCCGGCGGCTGGTTTCGCTGGCGCTGGTTTCGCCAGCGCTGGTTTTGTCGACCCCGTCGTCGCCGTCGGCGTCGCCGTCGGCGTCGGCGTCGTCGTCGTCGTCGTCGTCGTCGTCGTAGTCGTCGTCGTCGTCGGTCGGTCGGTCGTCGGGCGTCGGGCGGGTCGGGGTTGGCGGGCGGACCCCAGAGGACGGGTCGGGTCGGGTCGGGCGGACCCTAACGGGTGGGTCGGGTCGGGCGGGCGGGACATGGCAGTGTTGGGCGCGCTCGACCGAGCACGCGCGAACCCTAACGGGCGGGTCGGGTCGGGCGGGCGGACCCTAGCGGGCGGGTGGGTCGGGTCGGGCGGGCGGGGGCGGGTCGGGTCGGGCGGGCGGGACATGAAAGTGTGGGCACACTTCACCGAGCACGCGCGAACCCTAACGGGGGGTCGGGTCGGGCGGGCGGACCCTAGCGGGCGGGTCGGTCGGGCGGGCGGACATAACGGGCGGGTTGGGGGCTCCGGGGGCGGGCGGACCCTAGCGGCTTGGTCGGGTGTGGTCGGGCGGCGGACAGACCCTAACGGGCGGGTCGGGTCGGGCGGGTGGGACATGAAAGTGTGGGGCAGGCTCGACCGAGCACGCGCGAACCCTAACGGGCAGGTCGGGTCGGGCGGGCGGACCCTAGCGGGCGGGTCGGGTGGGGTCGGGCGGGCGGACCCTAACGGGCGGGTCGGGTCGGGCGGGCGGGACATGAAAGTGGGGCAGGCTCGACTGCACACGCGCGAACCCTAACGGGCGGGTCGGGTCGGGCGGGCGGACCCTAGCGGGCGGGTCGGATCGGGTCGGGCGGGCGGACCTTAACGGGCGGGTCGGGTCGGGCGGGCGGGACATGAAAGTGGGGCTGGCTCGACCGAGCACGCGCGAACCCTAACGGGCGTGTCGGGTCGGGCGGGCGGATCCTAGCGGGCGGGTCGGATCGAGCAGTTTCGCCGACGGCAGCTGGTTTCGCTGACGGCAGCTGGTTTTGCCGACGGCACCGGGTTTCGCCGACGGAAGCTGGTTTCGCCGACGGCAGCTGGTTTCGCCCAGCGGCGAAACCAGCCTGGCGAAGCGAGCCTGGCGAAACCAGCAGGGCGAAACCAGCCGTCGGCGCACGCAGCGGTTGTCGATGGCCGTGGTCAAAATGTCGCGGGATTTCGTCCGCGCCGATTTTGGGCATGGTCCGTACTTGCCGTCGCCGATTCGCGAGGATGATCGACGAATTGATGATGACCAAGATGGACGATGGCCGACGTTTCCGCGTTCAGTCTAGCTCATAATCATCGTTTATTTTCCCTCCATGCTGATACGTTCCAATATTTCGAGGCTTTACTGTTGTCACGCGCGGCCAGAGCTGAACGGCCAAGTACGGATGACCGAGGGCCGCTAGAAAGTCCAGAGTCCCCAGAACGTATCCTGAGCCAAATGTATCACCACATTATCGTTCTAGGCTTGCGGAGGGTTGGCGGGGTGGATGCTCGTTTTCCCGCCTTGTGCTCACGTCGAGCTTGAGGGTGCCTTTCGAATGCCCGATTTCTCCTCGTCTCACCCCCAGTTGTTCTGCTCCTGGCCTCTTGCGAGCACCTGGGGCCAGGAACGCACAGAGGCGATCATTGGTAGAAGCGAGCGCAAGTGTCCAGAATTTGGCATGAGCGATGTGAAGGTTTGCAATAGGTGCCACAGTCCTTGCATAGGCAGCATGAGAGCTGCTGGAGTGAAGTGAGTCTCCCCTTGAGCATTCTAGTGCGGCTTGGTGCAGCAGGCTTTGGAGCATGGATGGTTCGTTCGAAGATCCAGAGGCTGATAGCGCCACTGCTGTTGCTTGTGCGCAAGAGCGGGCCTTGTTCCTCGAGTTCCTCCGGGGCCATGTCGGCTGCTTGGAGTCTTTTCTGTTCCCGGCCTTTTCCTCTCTTCCGGTCTTTTTTTGCCACCTCTCCTCGCTGACATAGTTTTCGGCTTCCACCCTATTCCAGCCCTCCTTTACTTGGCACTCGTGGCCATTGTGCCACTCGGCGCGGTCGACCGGGCAGTCATGCTCGGCCAAGGGAGGCAACCACCGACGCCGCAGCGGCCAGGGGGTTTAGCGGTCGGTGCCTGCTCGAGCCCTGCCCTGTGTCCCGAGGCACATTTCTATTTGCGAGGGTCTTCCATCGTAAGGAGGGCAGGGGTACAATGCCTCTTGTCGGAAGCTGGATCATATACATTAATTACCAGTGGCGGGCTGGTCGGGGACGACGTCGGGGTGGTGAGGTGTATACTTGTTTCCCCGTTTTCCAGGGGAAACAGGGAAACATGTATACACCAGGATCCCGTATACACCAGGATCCGCTTTCCTGTGCGAATTTCAGTGCGGGACCAGAAAAAAGCGTCGGTGTATAGAGTGCGGCTCCTCATTTGTGCAGGGAGTGCCGACCCTGGGTGCGCCTGGTGCTGTGCCAGAGGGCACGCAGCATGCATACTGGTACCGAGCTTCCAGGTTGATCACCCGAACATTGTGAAGCTGTACGAGACTTTCGAGGATCACCGCAATCTTTACCTCGTCCTGGAGATCTGCGAAGGTGCCTGCAGCATGCATCGGGGCATCTCGGAACGGCCGGATGTGGCGTGCCGGAGCTCTTCGCTGGCCAGAAGGGCAGGAGAACTAGGAAGTAAAGGAAAAGGAAGGGAGGGAGGGAGGGAAGGAGGAAGGTCTCGCAGTGATTGACCACGTATTGGTGCACGTCCCATTGGTCGTCGAGACTAGGGTATGGCCAGACCACCCGCCGAATCCACTCGTAGTGGTTGGGCTTACAAGGTGACATGGAGGAGAGGACCGAGGGATAAAAGGAGGGTCTCGCCGCAGTTTAACACACGTCAATTTATCTTTCCGTGGTCGCGGACCAGGTCAAGTCCTCGTGGACAGGATGGGGTGGGCACCGAGGGGCACCATAGTCGTTTCGACAGCCAAGGGTGGACACCAGAAGCCTGTCGCCACCAGCAGGAAATTGTTCTTGTGGCACCCACGGAATTATTTCATTTTTTGTATCTATATATATATACATACATACATACATACATACATACACACACATACATACATACATACATACATACATACATACATACATACGTACGTACGTACATACATACATACATACATACATAAATACATATATATATACACACGAATGCTTGTTCTCATTTTCATCAGGGCGGGCAACTATTCCTGCGGAATTTGTTGGGAGCTTCGGGGCCGCGGATAGAACAACCCAGGCCGTCGGATGCCTGGGCCCGGAGGTCCCCGAGAGCCCCCACGGTGGCCTCTGGAGGCCACCGTGGGTCCAGCAAGGGCCAAGAACGTCACCCAGATGCCCAGACACCCGATGTCTTGATCTTTCCAATGCACGGTCCCCGCAAGTCCCGACCCTCTCCCTGGGGCTGTCTTTTTTCATCCCGAGTCGTTCTTTGACGGTCCTGGGGCCTGGCGAGGGCCCCCAGAGGCTGAGATCTGTGAAAGACTTCCGTCTTGGTGTGTTCCATTCCCTGAACAGCGAGGCCGCCTCCTTTGCCAGCCGCTTCTCAGGTGGCGAACTCTTCGATAAGGCTGGCGGCGCCCGGGAGTCTTCTCTCTTGGCGAGCCCCCGCGGCAGATCGGGGGCCAGGGGGGGAAGCGGGAGGAAGGACCGCACGCGGGAGGAGAAGGGAGAGGAGTGTTTTCCTCCTCCTCATCTTCCTCCTCCTCCTCTTTACTTTCCTTCTCCTCCTCCTCCTCCTTTTCCTTCTCCTCCTCTTCCTCCTATTTCCTCCTCCTCCTTACTTTCCTTTTCCTCCTCCTCCTTTTCCTTCTCCACCCTGCTCTTCCACCTTTGTCCGCTCTTCGTCCTCCTCGTGCCGTCCTCGCTCTCCTTTCTTCCCGTTCTTCCTCCTCACGACTCTCATCCTTCTTGTTAATCCTCATCCTTGCCCTGCTCCTGCTCCTTCTTGCCCTGTCATTCCGCGCCCTGGCCCTGATTCTCCCTGTTGTCCTCCTCGTCCTTCTCGCCTTCTTCCTGCTTCTCGCCATCCCGTGCTCGTTGCCTTCGCGCTGCGTGCGTGCGTGCGTGCGTGTGTGCGTGCTTGCGTGCGTGCGTGCGTGCGTGCGCGCGCGGTGTGTGTGTGTGTGTGTGTGTGTGTGTGTGTGTGTGTGTGCGTGCGTGCGTGCGTGCGTGCGTGCGTGCGTGCGTGCGTGCGTGCGTGCGTGCGTGTGTGCGTGTGTGTGTGTGTGTGTGTGTGTGTGTGTGTGTGTTCGTTCGTATGTGCATGCTCGGGCGCGCCTGTGTTTGTGTGTGTGTGTGTGTGCGTGGGTGTCTCTACCCAGGGTTCTCCAGCATCCTGCGCTGTGTTGCGGCTCATCACGACACGTTTCCACCGTCCCTGTGTAGCGTCTCGTCCTACGTCTCGAGCTGCGTCCTCGCCCCGCAGATCCAGCATCGGGCGGGGAGCCACCTCCCCGCCGTCCACGCCCAGATGGTTATGCCTCTCCTCCACGCTCTCGCGCTGCGTCCCGCTTGGGAGGTCCTGCGGTGGGCGGCGTGTCGCCTCCTCGCCATCCACGCCCGGATGGCTCGCTGCTGCGGGACGCATGGGATCCAAAGCAATCCCTGCTGGAGGTGCGGCCGCGCGCGCACCTGCTTCGACCTTACTCCGTCTCGACGCTGCGCGCGAGGCCTCGATCGCGCACAAGTGTGTGCGTGTGTGTGTGTGTGTGTGTGTGTGTGTGTGTGTGTCCGTAGCCTGCGTAGCCTGGTTCATGGCCCTCACGGGTCGCCAGCGGCAGCTGTGGGAGCCGGCTTCGGCCAGGGTGGCGGCGCGGCGGGGGTGCGGCCGGGTGCGGCTCCCCATGCGGCCATGGCCGACGCGGTCGGCGCGGCGCAGCCCGACGACTCCGACGAGGAGGCGGGCCTGCTGGACGGCCAGCGAGAAGCTCCCGCGCGGCCCGAGCCCGCGGGCCCTGGGCCGCCTGCAGTGAGCCCGCTGGCCTTGAGAGTCCCGCTCTGGGTGGCCTGCCTCGCCACCGTCCTCGCCAGTACCCTCGCGGCAACCGTCACTTACGCCGCCGTCGGCGGCGGCGGGGCCGCGCGGCTCGCAGCTCTGGCAGCGGCTCCGGCAGAGGCCGCGCCGGCAGCCCTGGATGCGTCTTCGGCGCTCGCGCCGGCCGCGGCCCCAGTGGTCCCCGCGGCGGCCCTCGCAGCAGCCCCAGCCAGTGCCCCAGCGGTGGCCCCAGCAGAATCCCCTGCTGCGGCGGAGGCCCCAGCCGTGGCGAAAGCCTCTGCAGCAGCCCCGGCGGCGGCGGTCGCGGTGGAGTCCCCCGCTATGGCCGTGGCAGAGGCCCCTGCCCCAGCGGAAGCATCTCCAGCAGCTCCAGCGGCGGCCCCAGCTGAAGCAGTAGCCTCTCTGGCTGCCGAGCCGCGGCCGCTCGCTTCAGTGCCAGCCATCACCTTGTTCTGCTTCGCCTGGAGCCCTCTCAAAGGGCGGGACGCAGAGGTGCTCTCTGAGGCGAGTCGCAGCCTAGAGGGGTGCGAACGGCACGTAGTCTATACCGACACAGGCTACGCCGGCGCCGTCGACGACCACATCGTCAAGGTGAAGGTCCCAGATCAGAAAGTGGCGCGCGACGAGAAAGGGTGGCTGTTCCACAAGAACATGGTAGGCCTGATGCCAGCGCTGACCCATCTGCTGACCACTGTGAACTGGCGGCAGTACGACTGGGCCGTGAACGTGGAGCTGGACCACGTGGTGCGTCCAGGCCGGCTGCGCGTCCTGCTCCAGGAGATGCAGGACGTGCTCCGGAACGGGACCGAGACGGATGCGGGCGCCGTCGACGGGCCGTTGCTGCTGATGCTCGGGAACGCGTTTGCGTTCAACACGCGGCTGCTGTCCGCGATGTCGGAGAGCTGGGGCACGCTGGGGCGCGTCGCGCCCGAGCTCCCCGACAGGGGCTGTCCCCTGTTCGGGCGCAGCAAGGGCGGCTACTGCGCTCAGGACATCGTCTGCCCGGGGGGCCAAAACGTACCCGCACTCTCGGGCCCCTCTTCCCCAGGATCGACGTTTTTGGGCGCCCTTGCGTCCTCTGGGCCTCGGGAGGTTTCCAGAGGCCTCCAGGGGACCCTCGAAGAACTTCCGGGGAGCTCAGACATCCGACGTCGTGTATCTTTCGTAAGGTGGCCCCCCCCAGAGGTCTGGGCCCCTTCCCCAGGACCCGTGTTTCATCCCGAGTCGTTTTTTGGAGGTCCGGGAGCCAGGTGAACCACGCAGAATCAACGGGGTCGATTGTGCGGACATCCGCGCGTAAGCTGCCTGCGTCAGGTCGCGCGCAAGGGCCCCCGTCTCCAATGTGGCGTGCCGTGCTGGCGGCCCGCGGAAGCCACCGCATGAGGTCGCTGTGCCAGCTCGCGTAACACCTTTTCTCTTTCGTCGCCCAGGCGAGGGCCCCCGCAGGCCGAAACTGAGCAGGCGCCTGCCGTCGTGACCCTTCCACAGCGAGAGGACATCAGGATCCAGGGGCCCTCCCCGCGGAGAGGCTGGAGCTGGACGGTCGGTGGTTCGGGCGCACTCGCTGTCGCTGGTCGGCCCTGGCTCGATCGCGCGGCGGCCGCCGTGACCGCCCGCGCGAGCTGAGGCGGGGCGGAGGGGGGACGGATGTGCTCGGGGAGCAACCAGTGGCATACACATACATTTTCGAAGCTCCGCGCGGGCTTCTCGGATCGGCGCTGGAGCCCCGTTGGCGGTGCCTCTGGCGCAGCCCCCGGCGCGCTCCGCGCGCCAGGGAGGGGGATCCAGGGCCGATCCGAGACATCCACGCGGACCTCTGACAGTTTATGTTCACGTCACAGCTTGCTCCGAACTCTGCACTCCGAGGGCGCCAGCCGGTGCGCCGGCACCGATGCTGGCGAGGCCCCTCTTGGGCCCAGGAGGGGCCTGGCCAGGACAGGATCGGTGGAGGCGTGTCGCTGGCGCCCTCGGACGTGCGTTTCGGCCCCCCCGTTCCCGGCCATGCAGCGCATGATTCCCGGCATGGCCAGCTACGGCGGGTCCGGCTGCGGCCAGGCGGACAAGACGAACAAGAGGGGGCAGAAGTTTCCCCTCGCCTGCTGGGACGTCTCCAACCCGTTCTGGAACCCCTTCGAGCCGCACAACGGCGAGGAGGAGCAGCAGCTGGCGATACGCGTGCTGGCGGAGATCCAGCACAAGGAGACGGCCGAGGAGGTCAACAGCCACATCCGGAGCCTCCTGGACAGCGGCTTCATCGACCGCCGCTTCGAGGAGGGGGTGGCCAAGCAGATGGAGAGGGGCCACTTCTTCATCGCGAGGAAGGTGCCCCACGTCCACCCTGATGAGGAGAGAAGGCTGATGAGTCGGATGCGGATGAGCAGGGATGACGATGATGATGACGATGATGATGATGCTGATGCTGATGATGCTGATGATGCTGCTGCTGCTGATGATGATGACTATGGTGTTGATGGTGATGATGGTGATGATGATGCTGATGATGATGATGCTGCTGATGATGCTGATGCTGACGTTAATTCCGATCATGATGCTGCTGCTGATGGTGATGCTGAGGATGATGATGGTGACGACGAGGTCGATAACGATGATTCTGATGATGCTGCTGATGATGATGCTGATGTTGATGCTGACGATGATGATGCTCAGGATGAGGATGATGACGAATATGATAATGATGCTGCTGCTGATGATGATGACGACTATGGTGATGATGGTGATGATGGTGATGATGGTGATGATAATGCTGATGAGGATGATGCTGCTGATGATGCTGATGCTGACGATAATTCCGATCATGATGCTGCTGCTGATGACGATGCTGATAATGATGATGGTGACGACGATATTGATGACGATGATGATGCTAATGATGATACTGATTCTGTTGATGATGCCGATGATGATGTTGCGGATGATGATGCTGATGATGCTGATGTTGATGCTGACGGTGATGGAGATGGTGATGGTGATGATGGTGCTGCTGATGCAACTGATGATGAAGATGCTGATAATGATGCTGCTGATACTGACGGTGATGGAGATGGTGATGATAGTGATGATGCTGATGGTGATGATGATGCTGCTGCTGATCAAGATGATGATGACGATTAGGATGATTTTGCTGCTCATGATGATGATACTGATTCTGATCATGATGGCGACGACGACAACGATGATGATGGCGATGATGATGATGCTGCTGCTGCTGATGCTGATGATGATCAGCACGATGATGACGAATCTGATGATGCTGCTGCTGATGATGATGATGCTGATGATGATGATGATGGCGACGACGACAACGATGATGATGGTGATGATGATGATGATGATGATGATGATGATGATGATGATGATGATGAGGTGAAGGAGGTGGATGAGGAGAAGAAGGATGATGGATGAGGGATAAGGGATGCAGCATGGTACTGATCAGGAGGAGGAGGAGGAGGAGGAGGAGGAGGAGGAGGAGGAGGAGGAGAGAGGTACCGATCGTCCACCACGCGGGCTTCGCTTCTGTGCACAAGTTGGCGCGGGAGCTGCTTCGGCCGTGACGCGCGATTGTTCTTCTTCTTCTTCTTACATCATCATCATCATCATCATCATCATCATCATCATCATCATCACCGTCGTCTTCGTCGTCGTCACCGTTACCGTCACGGTCACCGTCACCATCATCACCATCACGGCACCACCACCACCATCAGGCGATGACGACGCGGGGGAGCCTCTGCTGGCACAGCCCCCGGCACCTCGCTGGCCAGCCCAGAGGCCGCCGAGGCCGCCTCGCGCGCCCGCACCAGCAGAGGCACGAAGTGGTGAGGGGAGATCTTATGAACGAAAAACGGCACCACCACAGCCAGGGCGAGGAGTCAGGAAGGGGTGATCCTGGTGGTGTGGTCCCCCCTCCCCGCTCAAGACATCCCATGTCCTCCGCTCGGGGAGGCAAGAAAAATGCAACATACTCGAACAATGCCCCCCAAAAGGCCAACACATGTTCCGAACATCGTCCCCAGACTTTTTGAACATGAAGTGTTTAACATATTCTTCCTGTAGAGGGACATGCCCGACTTCAGAGTAGGCGAAGAAGCTCACGTATTGAGCTGGTTTCTTGGGCGCCTCCCAGCACTGGAGGCGGCCATGCATCGAGGAAAGGCGCCAGGTGGTGGGGCCAAAAGCAGCTGCACGCAGATGATTTCGTACCCCCCCTTGCCCAACCCAATAACCCCCCCCCCCTCTCGTCCGACCCAACGGAGCTGCGAGGATCGCGCCCAGGCATCCGAAGATTTGATTTGTTCGATCCTGACGTTTCTTCCTCCAGCTCGGCATCGGAAATTGGGGGGGAGAGGAGGGGGAAGGGGGGGAGGGACGTGGGGGGGGGAGCATTTTCGGGCCTGCAGGGCCAACAGACGTGGACTCGGGACGAGAGGGCCGCCGCAGATGGTCGGACGCTCTGGAGCTCGCCAGCCCCCCCAGAAAAAGGCCGAAACCAGTGGACGTTCGGGGCTCTTTATGGAGAAGGCCCCGGGACCTTGGAGGAGGCGGAGGAGGAGGAGGAGGAGGAGGAGGAGGAGGAGGAGGAGGAGAAGGAGTAGGAGGAGGAGGAGGGGGAGGAGGGTGCGAGAGCACACCATCAGCTGCAGCACGACGAAGTTGCAGCTGACGAATCAGCGCATTGGCGGCACCCAGGCGCGTGAGAAGATTGCCGTGGCAGCTGAGGTCATCAGAGCTGCGGCGAGATCGGGTGCGCAGTGGCGATCCGCGGCCCGCGCGGCACTAGAGGCGGCAGGCATCTGCGCGCCCAACGCGGCTGCTCTCGTCTCCATGGCCGCCGACGGCATCCCCATTCCAGCACGCATCGAGGCGATTTTCGCTGGTGTCGTAACCAGCGCCCACTGGTCCGCGGCCGACCAGGGCGACGCGTCCGAGCACGACGACGCCCGCGGCCAGCGCGCGACCAAGGATGACGCCGCCACCAGCCCCAGGACCACTCCTACCAGGAGGACTCCGACGGCTACCACCACGAGTACAGCGGCGGCGCGAGGCAGCCTGCGAGAAGCAGCAGGCGGCGACCCGAGGCAGCCAGCGAGACGCAGGGTTTCGTTCGACCTGCGCAGCCACCTCGAGCGGCCCCAGGACCACTCTCACGGGGAGGACTCCGACGGCCGACTCGACGATAGCGACCCAGCGAGCCAGAACGACACAGAGAGCAACGCCACGGACAGCGAGTACGACGGCGAAACCACGTACACCGAGAACCACGACACCCCTGCAGGGCGAGGGGGTAGGCCCTACGACGACCCGCCCAGACCAGGAGGACGGCCCACTTGGGGGCCAAGCCTCCGCCCCGCTCCGACCGGAACCAGCAGCACGCCTACGGGAACCAGCAGCACACCTGCGGGAAACAGCAGCACACCAACGGGCACCAGCAGAGCATCGGGCACCAGCAGGCCTTCTTCAACCGCACTGGCGCCCACGGCGCCTCCCAGCACAACCACTTCCTCATCCTGGAGGGCGCCCACCTGAACGGCGAGTTCATCATCGCCGTCGCCCCCTCGGGTGGTGAGCGTGCCGCCTTCCTTAGGTGGAGGAGGCTGGCGGCCACCGAGGGGGGCAAGATCATCGTGTTCGGCTCCCACAGGGAGTACCTCTTCTGAGAGGGGGGGAGGAGGTGGCCCCCCCCTCGGGACGGCTGCGTCCGACAGGACATCGAGCCGATAGCGATAGCGATAGCGATAGGGGGAGGAGGGGGGGGAAGGGGGGGGGGAGAGCCTCGGGACCTGGGAGCCTCCACTCGATGATTCGCTGACCTTTCTTCTGGGTCTGCGAGTGGGCCGCCATGAAGAGTTCCTCGGTGGAGCAGGAAAGACCGAAGAATTGCTAATTGATGGAGGACACCCTTTACTTGGGGAACTCCCCAACTCGCAGCCTGCTGTAGGGGTTGCTCGATGGGGGCCAGCCTGGGCTAGCAACCCCGTAAACCGGCTTCCTAGAGGGCGGCAATCTGCGCGCAGCGGTCGCAGCAGCCACCATTTGGCGGCCTCCAGTCGATCATCGTCAGAACTTCGGATCTGAGGATTCCAGAGGCTCGGGAGGCCTCCGGCCTTCTGATAAGTTAATTCTGAGCCTTCTCCGCAGACGTTGTGGCGGCTTCTCAGAAGGCTGGAGGGCTCCTGAGAAGCGCCGCCGCCTTGTTATAACTGGGTGTGGTGCCAATCGTGAAGAAGGCGAGGGTATCTGCGATAGCCGCAACCGCGTTACATTCCGATTTCAACTATGTTGGTTTTGCGTCGGCCGCTTCAAACAACATCAGAATTCCTGGTTCCAACCCCCCAGGCGACCTTCATCAAATCTGAACGGCGATACACATGTCCATCGCACGACGCCCTATCGCCAAGTACGCGATTCCAGAGATCCCATAATTTCGGGAATCCGTTTCTGTGATTTCGCAATGTGCGGAATGTCGTTCCGAAGCTTCGGAATTATGATTTGTATTGAAGCAGCACTATCTCGAAATCCCAGAAACTCTGGAATTACATGTTTGGCGATACGGACATTCTGGAATTACGCCTTCCGCGCTTCGGAATTTCCCAAATGGCGTGCTTGGTGGCCGGGCGTCCTGAAACAGGTGTTTGCGTTTGAGCAGCTGCTGCTCAAATAGAACTGCGGTCGTTTGGGGGATTTGGACACAGGAATTCAGACGTCTTGCCCCAATTACGCTCGCCTAAGGGTTTTTTTGTTAAATATTGGTACTTCCTTTGTCCCCAATGAGACTTTCCTAAGGCGATCTTACTTGGTTAAAAGTTGGTGCCTCCTAGTGTTAACTTTGCCCGTTGCTCGGAGATCCCTCGGGTTCCTCGGCGGACTCCTCGGGTTCCCCGCCCCCGGTGCCTCCTGCTGTTACGTTGCCTGTTTCTCGGTCTTGTTCCACGGGTTGCCCAAGTTCCTCGGGTTCCCCAGCTTTGTTCCTGACAAGGGCCTTGGGTTCCCCAGTCCTGTTCTTAGGGTTCCCTGGTCCTGCCTCTTGCTCGGGTTCCTCGGGTGCTTCGTTTGTTCCTTGTCTTGGTTCCTTGGGTTCCGCGTTTTTTTTTTTTTTTTTTTTTTTTTTTTTTTTTTTTTTTTTTTTTTTTTTTTTTTTTTTTTTTTTTTTTTTTTTTTTTTTTTTTTTTTTTTATTATTATTATTATTATTATCTCAGGTTCCCCGGGTTCGCCGGTCTTGTTCTTTGCTTGAATTCTTCGGGGTCCCTGGTCTTGTTCCTCGGGTTCTCCAGCATTGCACAGCAATTCTAAGCAACGCCAAACAAAACCAAACAAAGCCAAACAATGCAAAACAATGCAAAGCAATGCCAATCCATGCGAAGCAATGCCACGACAGGCCAAGCAATTCCGCGGGTATCTACACTTTGATGCTAGTTTCATTTCCACCGTTGCACTGGAGGGAGGGGGGTGCAGAGACGGAGAGGAGCCTCCGTTGGCATTTTGGCTCGAGGCGTAGCTGTTTAGTGAAGCTTCGAGGGCAATTTGAGGTTGGCGGCACTTGCTTTCATACTTCTTCGCGCGCGATGGCGACGCTGGCCCTCCCAGACGGTATGCTTAACGATTGGCCGGACGTGCTCGGCTACTGCGAGCTCGACCCGGCCGTGTGGGCACAGATCGCCCAGGAGATGGGCGACTCCACGCTCCAGAATTTGAGCATCATCGCTACCCTTCAAGGCGCAGATCTCGCGGAGGCTGCCCAGGAGTGCAAGTTGAAGGGGATTGCGAAGACGAAGCTCAACATAGCAGTCAATATTGCACGCCTCAAGGTCGGAGTGGCGACGGCTGATATTTTCAGCCAGGTGGGTGTTCACGCTCCGGCTCGCGTTGCCTCGCCGGTAGACGCCAGGGGCGCGCCGGCGGTGGCAGCACCTGCGCCGGTTGTGAACGTGCTGAAGGTCAAGGACTATTACGACCAAGCCTCCCGCCTCACCGTGCTCCCCCTGGAGGAAACACGCATTGCCGAGATGCGGAAGCGGCTTCAAGCCACGACGGTGCTCAGCGTGCCGGTTCGGGTCTGGTACACCGACGACCAGGTGTCCGTCCTCGGCTGTCTCGCCGACGCGTGCTACCCGATGCTTGCCTTCGACATGGGCGTGTGGGGCCCGCAGGATGGCCGGCGGCAGCGGGCCGCTGCCTTGTCCGCGCACGTCCAGAATTCGGCCGGCGAGTGGATCACCAAGGAGATCAAAGGGCCACCGAACTTGGGTGCTTGGATTGAGGCGTGGGATTTCGCCTCTGCCGGCTTCCTCATGGGCGACGTCATGGACCGTGCCGTTGCGGAGGGCTACCGCGACTTCTTTACCAGGATGGTCAGGAACTACCCGGGCGCGGAAACGTGGGCAGTCTGTGCAGACGCGGAGTGGACTTTCCGTTTCGAGTTCGCTGCTGACGAGCTGGAGCGGCAGCGCCAGTTCCACGGCACCAGCCCGGACATCGCGCTGTATGAGCCCGCTCGCCGGTGGAATTCGGTCCTCGTCGCCGGGGTTCGCGGGATTGACGCCATGAGGTTCTGGGAGGAACACCTCAAAGAACCGGCGCGCAGGCTTCTGTACTCGCGGGCGAACGCGGGAGGCTCCGCATCTTGGGCAGATGCCAGGGCGTCTGTCTACCACCGGGTCGCTGGTGCCAGCCCGTGCGCCGGGGCCCCGGCAGGCGGCGCCGGCGGGCCGGGCCCGCCCCTGGACAGCGGCGCGGGGGGTGGCAGACGGTCCAAGAAGCGCGCGGCAGAGGCAGCGCGGGCGGCCACCGACGGCGGGCAGCCTACCCGGACGAGGCTGCCTCAGCCGCTCGTCCGGGGCCGCGGCAGGGACGGCGAGGCGCCCGACCCGAACGCCAAGCGGGCCGACGGTCGCTTTTACATGGACGTGAACGGCCTCGAGTGGTGCTACGCCTGGAACAGGTCTGCGACTGGCTGCAGCGACGGCGCTGCGTGCAGGGCGGCCCAGAAGCGGGTCCACGCGTGCGAGTGGTGCCGCGGGACACACCGTGCAGTGGGGTGCCCGCAGCACCCAGGATGGACCCCGCCCCCCGCGCCTGGCCCTGGCGGCGGGGCCAAGCGCAAGTGATCTGAGGTCCCCGCCGCCCGTCCCGCGCAGACGCGGGGTCGGGCGGCGCCAGGGCCCCCTGGCGGGGGCAGTGGCCCTGGCGATGGCGTCAGCGAGCTAGTTCGCTCGGCTGGCACGTCCTGGCGAGAGCCCGCGAGTCAGGGGCCCGCGCCCAAACGCGCGCGCGTGTCTTGCGCGACAGAGCCGGGCGACTTGCTGCGCGTCGAGGCAACGGCGCCTTCGCGGAGCTCCGACGAGGCGCCGCGAGTCGGAGTCGCGAGCCGGCCGCGCTGCCACGCCCGAGCATTTGTGGATTTGTTCGGGCGCGACTCGGCCCTCACGGCAGCTGTCAAGCAGTACCAGGCGCTGGCCTTCACCGAGACTCGGCTGCGGCGGGGGCCCCAGGAACCTGGCATCCCGTGGGCTTTGCAGCGGGAGCGCTTGCGCTGGCTTGCAAACCGGCTCCAGGGCGGCAAAGTCACTTGGCTTGTAGCCGACGCGCGCGAATGCGCCCAACGCCTCGCGCGCCACGCTCGGATGCAGCTTCGAGCCGGAGGTTGCTTCACTCTGGTTTTCGACAGGTCGTCGGATCTGTGGGCGCTGGTTTGCTTGCAGCGGCTGGCACAGTGCCGCGGCGTGCAGCGGGTCGGCCAAGTGGCGGGCGCGGATGAGGCGGGCCTCGGCAGCGTCGCGTGGCTCACGAATGCGCCGTGGGTCACCCCGAGCACCATCATGGCTGGGCCGGCGGGGCTCGCCGGCGCCTTCGTCCACTTTGATCTACCGCCCTGCATATACAGGCCGGTCATCATCACCGACGAACCGCGAGCGGACGCCATCGACCCAGCCTTGCAGAGGCTAGTCAGGGAACAGGAGAACCAAATGGCCGTGGGTGGGATGCGTAACCCCCATCGGTCGATCCACCGCGTGCCGGGATGGACTTCCGTTGGAAACCCGCTTCGCAGGGTGCTCCTCGACGTGTGCGTCCGTCGCGAGGCGTCCGTCAGGTCGACGATGCAGGGCGCGGGTGCGCCGGGCTGCGCGGGCTTTCCAACGGACGTTGTCGAGGCGACCAGGGCGTCCATAGCGGCGGAGTTCGGCGTGGCGCTCTCCGGCGTGCCGCGCGCGGACCGTGCGGCCATGTTCCGTGCGCTCATCGCAGAGAGCGGCGACCCGGATGACGTGTTGTCTGCGTGGGTGGGTGGCGCTGCGCCGCTGGGAATTGAGCGGCCGATGCCGTGCCGGGGCATCTTCCCGAGGGTCGAGCGCTGCGTGCCCGAACCTGACAATGCTGGCGCGAATCTTGAGGTCACTGACAATTTCCCGAACTATCTTTCGGTGGAAGCCGACCCGCACGTCGCCGCGGAAGAGATCGCCAAAGACATCTCCAGAGGGTTTTTGCGGTGGTCCACGCGCCGAGAGCTTCTGGCGGCGCTCGCCCGGGTGAAAAACGGCCGCTCGAAGGTCCGTCTCATCCACGACCTCCAGAGGAGCCACGTCAACGCCTTGGCGGCGGTTCCCGAAAGAGTCGTTCTTCCCCGTTTTCTTGACGCCGTGCGCGCCATGCTGGCATCGGCGCGGGGGTCGCCGGGCAGGGCGCCGGCAGCGCGGGGCGACGCGGAGGTGGCGGTTGTGGACTTCACAGACGCCTTCAAGCAGCTCGGCGTGGACGCCGCAGAACAGCGGTATCTCGCCGGCACGGCGACGCTGAATGGTTAGAAGGGGTATTTTTATTACGCGTCTGTTCTTTTTGGCGCGATCGCCAGGCCGCTGGTGTGGGGCCGGGTTGCCGCCTTCCTGATCCGCGCTGCTGCTGCCATCCTTCGCCCCCTGTCCGCCGGCGTGCAGTGCTACGGCGACGACCCGATCTTCGCGCTCCTGGACGTGCCGATGTGCGCGAGATCCACTTGGCGCTCGTGCTCTTGTTTTGGACGGCATTGCACTTCGAACTCTTGTGGGCGAAGGCGTCGAGAGGTTCGGAGGTCGACTGGATTGGCGCGCGTTTGGCCTACATGCACGAGGCTGGCCGGGTTGTCGGAGTCACGGTCACGATTTCTCCAGACAAGGTCGCCAAAGTGGGCCGGGCGCTCGACGAGCTCGCGGCGGACACATTTTGCGACCGGAAAGCCGTCGAGGAGTTCGCTGGGCTGTGCTCCTGGGTGGGCAGCATCGTGCAGACGGTGCGGCCCTTCGCTCGCATGGTGTGGGCGGCAGCTTGCGCTCCGCCTGGCGGTCACGAGACTTCGGGCCAGGTCGCCAAGGCCCGGATCAAGTTTGTCATCGCCTGGATGCGCGCACTCCTGGAAGACTCCGCCCTGGCGACCCCCAGGAGTTTTTTGTGGACGACGCGGGCGAGGGGCCCACTATTGTCTTCGACGCTTCTTTCACTGGAGGCGAGGCGTTCCTGGAGCCAAGTGGCGCCTCCGCTGCGAACATTCGTTATTTCGTCGCCGAGTGGACCCCTGAGGACGCGACGGCGCTCCAGGCGAGGTGGTTGGATCCAGCCGCCCAGCCGCTGTGGGAAGCGTACGCTTTGCTCATCGCGGTCCACGCGTGGCACGGTCGGCTGGGAGGTCAGCGCGGCCGTCTCCAGCTACGGGGCGATGCGAAGGGCGTCCTGCAGGCAGTCGTTCGCAAACGTGCCCACCACGCAGCCCTGAATCGCGTCGCGGCCGAGCTGCTGCTGATCCTCGGCAGGGCGATGCACGACATCGACGCGTTGAGCCGAGTCCACGGAGGGGCCGACGTACCCCAGCGGCTGGCGCATACCGGCATATGCGATACTCCAGTGCGCCGCCGCCCGTGGCGCATCCTCGGTTGAGGGCGCCTTTGGCGTGCAGGCTGTCCGAGGTCCCAGCTCCAGTGCGTGCTGGCATATTTTCCAGTCGACGCCCAGAGCTGGCGGCAGAATGGCCCGGCGTGCAGACTGGCCGATGTGAGGCTGCCGTGCTCCACCGCCGGGGTGCGCAGACTGGCCGAGTCCCGGCTCCAGTGCTAGCACCGTGATTTTTTTTTCTTTCGCATTTGGCCCGGAAGCGCCGGGCAGGAGGGCGCTGTTGAGCAGACTGGCCGATGTGAGGCTGCAGTGCTCCACCGCCGGGGTGCGCAGACTGGCCGAGTCCCGGCTCCAGTGCTAGCACCATGCCTTTTTTTCCGGCTTATTGCCCGGAGCTGCGGGCAGGAGGCATTTGCGAGCAGACTGGCCGATGTGAGGCTGCAGGGCCAGGGTGCGCAGACTGGCCGAGTCCCGGCTCCAGACCGGAGTCTCCGGCAACGTGCAACTTTTTTTTTGTTTTTTTTTTTTTTTGCAATGGGGGGCAGGATTTGTTGGCTCTCCTCGTGCTCTTGGCTGGCCTCGGAAAAGGAACAGAAATATGTGCGCCATCTATCGTCGGCTTCCTTCCTCCTCCTCCTCCTCTTCCTCTCCCTCCCCTGTCCTTTCCGGTCTTCCCTCCCTCCCTCCCCTTCTCCTCCTCCTGCCCCTCTTGCTCGCACCCTCCGTGCTCGGGTGATGTCCCCAGAGGCGTGCTCCCCGCGCTGAGGCTCCAGCGACGGCCCTCTCTCGCATTTTGGCTCATGCAGGCCCCCTGGGACGCCCTGCGCGCGGCCTCGGCGGGCGCGCCGTCGTTTCGCATGGCTAGACGCTTGTGCTCATCGCGACATGTTCGGGGCCTTCGACCAGCCGCTGACGCGCCCGACCCCGCAGGTGGGAGAGCGCGACCCACGCGTGGCCGTGGTCGGGCAGTCACTGTCGGTGCACGGGTCCGCGATTGGCCATGGACGGCCTCCTGCTGCTGATCTGCTGATGCATGGGAGGCTCCCGCTGCGCCCGCGCGGGATGGTGCCGGGAGGTGCGGTTACGGCACTGTCTCGCTTGACTGTGCCACGGATTCCGCCCGACCCGCATCTCGCATGCAGCTCTGGTTTGGTCAGGCGGAGCGGGCGCAGGGCTGCCTGGAATCGCGGTGTGTCACGGTTTCCGCCAGGCCCGCCTCCAGCGTGCAGTGCTGTTGTACTCGCGAGGCGTCCTTTCTTCAGTGTTTGTCCTGTGGGCCTGGCGCCTGGTGGGGGGGTTCCCGCTGCGCCCGGGCGTGCTATCGGCCACGCGGCCAGGACAGGCCCGCTCGGCTGGAGCCCCATTGCCGCTTGGCGGCAGCTGGCTGCCGCGGCCCACGGCGGGTCCGCCGAACCAGCGGCGGCCCATGCCCTCCGACGGGTTCGCAGCACGGTCGACTACGCGGCGGCGTGCGCGGTTGCTTGGAGCGGCGGACTCGCCCATGGGGCGTCTGTCCGAGTCGTCGGCGCCAGTCCGGAGTCCAGCTGCCGGTGCGCGGCGGCTGGCGCCAGTGCGGAAAGCATATCGGCGAGGCGCAGCTGCTGGCCTCGATGCCGGGGACGATCATGGTGCTGTTCGTACTCTCTGGGCTGCCAAGTTCGCTGCTTCTTCGCGTGGGACGCTGCGCTCCCCACATTCGCTGGTGGGAGCAGCGTTGCGTGGCTCGTGGTTGGCGCACTGCGCTGGTCTCACCTCAGCGTCTCGAGCTGGCGGGTGCTTTCCTGTTGCAGGGCGGCTATCGTTCGGGTCCCGCTTATTTGTCGGCCATTAAGCGGCACCACGTGGGGCGTGCCTTCCGCTGGACGGCCTTGCATGCGCAGGTGCAGGCCGACTGCAACAGGGCTTTGCGGCGGGGGCGCGGCCCTGCCAAGCAAGCAGCCCCGTTGCCGATCGAGGAGACCGTCGTGGCGTCGGCGTCGCCGGAATTCTGCCGTGCAGTGCGGTCTCATTGGCCAGTCGCTGGCGTGGACGCGGCCATCGTGGCGTGCGCGTGGATGATGCGAGAGATCGAGCTGGGGGCGGCGAAGCTGCCCCAGGCGAGTTTCCATCGGCCAGTGCATGCATCGGATGGCCCATGTGGTTGGGCTGAGTTCGACCTTCCCGCCTCGAAGTGCGATCAAGAAGCGCTTGGAAAGAGGCGCGCCCTCGATTGCGCGTGCCCGTCGTCGCTGTGCCCGGTGGCGGCGCTTAACCGTGCTGCGCGCGCCGCCGGCCAGGCAGCAGCAGCGCAGGGTACTCGGGCCCAGGACGCTCCGCTTCTCCCGGTCCGGAAGGGCGGCTTCGACTCGAAACGCGGTTGCACTCTGTTCTTCCAGGAGGCCTCGGCATGGGTCGGGGCCGACGCGGCTGCGATTTCTGGACACTCGCCACGCGTGACGGGCGCCCGTCGCATGGCCTTAGCGGGGGTGCATGTCTGGGTTATTCAACTCTTCGGCCGGTGGGGCTCGGACGTGGTCCTCCGGTATTGTCGAGGGGCGCTCCTTGGGCAGCGGGGCGGAGGGCTCGCGAAGACCATGGAGGCCCAGCTCGCCACTGACGTCGGGGACCTCTGGGGGCGGATGGCGCGCGTGCTTGCGGGTGGCGCGGGTGCGCGCGCGGCGCAGTCGAGTGTGGCTGCGCCCAGGCAGGGTGCCAGACCAGAGGGCGACGTGAGGGCCGAGCTCACGACGCAGAGGAAACGACCTCGTGATGCTGATCGTGGCGGCGGTGCTCCACTTGAGCACGTAGTCGACGAGGTGCTGGAGTCGATGGTGCTCAAGGCCGTTCGTGAGCAGGCGGTGGTACTCACAGGCCATCGTGACACGCTTCTGCAAGAGATCGAGTCACGCTTTGCAGATGCCCTCGAACGCGACTTGATCATCGCTGGTGAGCGTCCTCCTAAGTTCGTCAATTGCGTCAATGGAAAACGCACATCGGTGCGACCTTCACGCACGCTCGCTGCGGCTTGGAGCTCGGGCCGAATGGTGAGCCTAGGCTGTGCGAGCCTGACGGTGAGAACGAGATTTGTAAAGCCTGCACTCGCTCGCGTACGTAGGCTGGCGGGGTGCCAGAAATCGTGCTGTTCAGCACGGGCGCCTCTGCCAGGGATTGGCGACTGCTGCACTGGAAGGGCTCCAGCGTATAGCCAAGCATCCCAAATGCCACCATTCATAAGAGCGGAGCAGTGCCAAAGAATGCAAAGGAATGCCCAACAATGCCAAGCAGTGCATAGCAATGCCAAGCAACGCCAAGCAACGCAAATCATTGCCAAGCAATGCCAAGCAATGTCAAGCAACGCCAAACAATGCGCCCACGCAATAGGAATGTTTCCCCTCATTGGGGTCGCGCTGGGTTCATCGTTGAGGCGGCCGCCGCAAAGCCAACGTTATTGAAATCGGGATGCAACGCGCTTGCGGCTATCGCAGATAACATGCATTGTCCTTGTCAGCATTGGCGCCACACGCCTTTATACCACACTGGGTGCTATCGCCGGGGGCTGAATGGGGCTGACACACACACACACACACACACACACACACACACCTTCCTGAATATCATCGATCCAGACGCCTCCGCACACCCCGGGGGCCCTCAGAACTCGGCGCCACGGGACTCGGCACGGAGAGCCAGACTCCGAGGCTCTGGGAATCCGCTCTGGGCCCCCGAGGCAACGAGAACAACACCCAAAACCCTCCAGCGTGTGGAGCAAACCGAGACCAAACGAACTCGCCGTTCTCGGCCTCCCGGGGGGCCCCCGCCGGGCCCTTCGGCACCGTCAGAGTGTGCTGCGGATGACCAGCCGGCCCTGGGGAAAAGGTCCGACTGCCTACCAGACCACCCCAACCCAACCCGAAGGCCCGACGTTCGGGTTGGGGTGGGGGGTGCGGGTTCCATGTGTGCTTTTTCGATGTTCCCCGACGCCCCCCCCCCCCCCACTGGAAATGGAGGGCAGATTGAAGCCTTCGGGTTGGGTTGGGGTGGTTTGGCGGGTAGCGACTTCTGGGGGGCCCGCACCGGAACAAAAGCATGACATCGGACGTCTGAGCTGCTGACCGCCTACAGGATGCAATGATTTCTCCGACTTAAAGGCGACATCCTGGTGAGTCTCGGGAATTCTGCTTCAGGGGGTAGTTTGTGCAGAGCGCTGATGGCCAGGTCAGGGTGCTTCCGACTCCAGCTGGAGAGGTTTCCGGCTGATTAGGTCGAATGGCTGGATCTGTCGATCTTCAGACACGGTGGTCGCATAGGAACCCGCCTAAGGTTCAAACCGACCACCCTGGTTATACCCCTCGGCTGAGACAGCGCGCACCCAATGCATACGCACAAGGCGTGGCCCACAGCACGCCTGATGTACATGCAATCCTTATGCTCAGACTCAGTTTTTTTCAGTAGTGCTACGCTGAAAACGGGCAGCGATTATCCCATTCATTTCTAGCGCAACATGTCAATGCAGTTTTATCTCCCCTGAAATGGTTCGCGGGCCCACGCGTCAGTAATGAGAAACCAGTTCAGCCATCGCAGACGTCGTGGTTGAAGCTTCGATTTACTCCAGAGCTCCAGGGCGTTGCCAAAAAGGCCCTCAGGGGATTCCTGCTCTCCAAACCTCACAGCAGCATTTTGCAGCAGGCCATGAGGGAAGCGCCGTGCGTCAGGATTTCTCGGTATAGGTATTTAGCAAATCTTTCGGACCAGCTGGCAAGACTAGCCAGCCCGAGCGTAGGAGGAGCTAGGGGCAGGTAGGTGGGTCGGTCATTGTTGTCATTGCGACTCTGACGCAGCATATTTGGCTCGAGTCCAGAGGGCTATCAATTGCCGATTTTGTTTCCCAAGGGGGGGGGGAGCTTTTAGCAGGTGTACCCGCGAAGCCCAAAAGGAGAGGGTGGTGGTGGTGGTGGCATGCAGTGGGGGTACTGGGGTCAGACGCCTCCAGGGGACATGCAGGGGGGTTTGGCCTGAGAGCGTCCGACCAGGTGCGGGGGAGGGGTCGGGTTCGGGAGGTGGTTCCAGGGGGGGGGGAGGGTTGGCCGCGGCCCGTTTTCACGTTTGTCCCCGCCCCCCCCCCTCCCCCCTCCTCCTCGGACGAAGAGGAAGTTTAGAGCTTAGAATGCCTTTTTTACGCGTGAGGAGCTTATGCTGGACGCTTTTCTGCCGAAGCTCAGCGTGCTCTCCATGAGGTTCTAGTGAGTACCGCGGCGTCGCGGCGTGACGCATGTCCACCGAACAGGACGGTTTTACCAACTTCGCATACGCAGGCCAAACGTTTGAGCGAACTACGTTTGCTTGTTTCGTGGTTTGAATAATCGAAGTAATGCTTATCTTTACATATTGGCACAGTACATCTACATATGTATACGGGTACCTGTAGTCTGTAGATCCCTCTCTCTATGTATGTATGCATCCTCGGCGCCAGGCGTCGCGAGCTGCAGGACAG